TATCTTAAATACTATAAAAAGTTTGAATAAGAATTCCATTTTTTATATAGAAAAAAAAATTGTTGAAAATATGCTATTTTTTCCCGGTGTAAACCAATGTAACCCCTTAACAGAAATCGTTTAACAAAAAGAAGAATAATTAAAATATTAATACTCACTGCAAACAGAACAATGTTTTTCATCGGAACCATCGCCACATCCGTCTCTTCCGCTGCATGCAATAGCATCCGAACGGCATCTACCATTATCGCATTTAAAAGGACACGTTTTGGGTCCTATCCTACCGCGATATCGGGTTCGACAGGCTCCTCTAGGTTCGTCACTGCCATCTCGACAAGAAACAACTGCATTACAAAACTCGTATGCAGGTAAACATTGGCCATTGTTACATCTGAATGCACCTTCGGGACATTCTACGGGAATTATATTATAATGTGGAAACAATTATATAATTGTTATCGAATTCAAATTGTATCGAAAATAAACAATCAATATTATAGGTATTATAATTATAATAATATAACAACAAAACACTAACTTCTTCGATTGTTGCAATCCTTTTCATCCTCGTTGTCAGGACAATCACGGTTTCCATCGCAAATGCCTGCCCTAGAAACGCAAATGCCACTTTTCGGGCATTTAAAAGCTTGATTAGGACAACTACCCTTGGTGCATTCCTCGTCAGAACCATCAAAGCAATCTGCACGACCATCGCAAACGAAGAACCAACTGATGCAATTTCCTGAACTTCTGCATTGGAACGTACCAGGTGTACAACCACCTATCTTTGCATTGCAACTTGAATTAGATGGGAAATTGCAATCGCAAATTCCTTCCGTACATCTTGAATATGGATCCGCCATTCGACATTCTAAATCAGAGATACAGGGTAGACCTAAACTGACTGCTACCGTTGCGGTTGGTTCGTGACGATCGGTTTTAATCGGTGCTGAAAACCAAAAAGCAAACGATCAATTAACAAATGTCTCTCTTCATCACAAGAAGATAATAAATACAAAACAAAAATAATAATAAATATAATCAATCATAATTCCAATCACAGTAAATCATTTCTATCAATACATAGATATTTCAACCAATCCGTATCCTCTATTAAATTCTGTCTAAATTCTGTCTAAATTCTGGCTAAATTGCGTAGACAAAAGAGTGTACTTTAATTTAATATAAGATTCATTAAAATCTATTCACTCTTTGTAAGTATAAAAAATATTTACCGAAACTTGACTGTACATTGCAATAAAAAAAAGTTCGACAAAAATTTTTTATACTTWTARCAMRYGGATTTTAATGATTTTTATATTAAATTAAAGTACACTCTTTTGTCCACGCGTAGAATACCATATCGAGTTATAAATTTAGCTAAAAAAGTTCAGAAAATGTCAGAGAATGCAATGCTGTAAATTGTGCATCTTTGAAATTTCTTTGAAAAGTTTCAGCAAATATTTTTTATACTTATAGCAAATGGATATTAATGATTTTTATATTAAATTAAAGTACACTCTTTTGGCTACGCGTAGAATACCTTTTCGAGTAATAAATCGATTTGCAAAGGTTCATAAAATGTCACAGAATGCGATGCTGCAAATATTTCCTACTTTGCCATTTCTTTAAAAAGATTTTGCAAATATTTTTTATACTAAGAGTGAATAGATTTTAATGAAACTTATATTAAATTAAAGTACACTCTTTTATCTACACGTAGAATACAAATTTGAGTTTTAAATCAATCTGGAAAGGTTCATAAAATAGCAAAGAATGCGATGCTGCAATTTTTTTCCTACTTTGCCAACTCTTTGAAAAGTTTCGGCGAATATTTTTTATACTTTTTGCAAATAGAT